CAGCTCCTCAGGGCACAGCTCATTACTTGTGTGGATATAAAATCACACATGTGATGACCCCCCACATGTGAGGCTGTATCTGTCGTGGCTCTGGCAGTGCAGATGTGCTGCCACCACAGCACCACCCATTCCAAGAAGCTTCATAATTCCACCAGCATGTCAGAGATAACTAGGAATCAGGAATTAAACTCCATGTGTGTATAAAGTCCTAAGCATTGTACCTTTAACAGGAAGGCAGATGAAGTCCCAAGTAGTTAGAATCAAATCCCTGAATATACAGCCACAGCTGGGGCTGGAAATAAAAACTGTTTTATTAAGCAGCTGTACAAGGGGCTGCTTCCCTGTGGAACACCAGGGATTCCTTGCTGCAGGTTCCTTGAGATGAAGTGATGGGCAGCAGGCAAGTGAACATCTCCCATTTTATCCCGAGACTAAAAAAAGCTTTTCCCAATTAAATTTTCCTCCTTTCAGCCATTAGCAGTTTAATCCCAGACTATATGCCACTGTAGATGTGCTGGGGTAAAGGTGAGAACATGAAATGCATTTCCAGTTTACTGCTGTTGCAATTTCTCCACTTGACAGTTTTACAGCAGCAAATCACTCATACGCAGAGAAACACTGCATGCAAACTCAACAGCTATGAGCTCATACAACCCACACCAGAGAATTGCAATGGGAGAGGTGGTTTTGCCTGCAAGAAGATAGTACTCTTTTATTATAATCTCTTCAGGAAAAATACAGCCAGGCAAACAAAAAAAACAAACCCAAAGAGCCACTGTAAACAAAACACAAAAATCAGCAACTTCCTATTTGGGGACTTCTTCTCTCTTCAAGAGGCAAAATCAATAGGATCTGCCTTTCTGGGAGAGAGGATTCTCAAAATGTAGATGAATTAAATGAAGCATAGACAGAAATGCTTGCCATGCATTTTTAAAACTGTATTTGATCAATACACTTCTAAAGAACTCAGAGGAGCCACCGTGGCTCTAACAGGGCTGGGCATCACCCACCAAGAATACATTAGTCTCACAGACTTTACTCTTCTGAATAATGCTCAGGGCAATAACTGCCATTTCTGTTCTCATTAAAGAACAAAAACCTAGCGAATTCCTGAGCTGCTCAGTCCTGCCTAAGGAGCAATGCCAAGCTCTGCACGTAGCACAGCACACGTGGGTCACCTGATCCCTTAAATGCATGAAATTCAGTGAAAAACACAAGTATGTTTTTCGACAAGCTTGTAAGATCATGACTGCTTCAGTACTACATTGCATTGAATGAGGGACAATATTTTGCCATCTTGAAAATTATTAAGTAGTACTTCAGTAATAAGATCTTCCCTTTTAAAAGGACTGGTTGCAAACTGATATATTTAATTAATAATTAAAGTTCTGGTGTTGTTCAAATGGTGTTTCAGGAGCTTTCTGAGAACTGTATCTGTAAATCTCAGAAATAACACCCTAGTGACAAGAGACGGATATTACTGCGACCTTACAGATTTTTTAAAGGTATTTTCAGAAACAAAGGTTCATTTCTTATCAAAGGGGGAAAACCAATACAGCAGATAAATTTGCCTTTACCAGTGATAGCAACAAGCCTTCGTGGATAAGATTCAATGAACACCCCCATGGGGATTCCCCTGAAGGAGTAGGTATAATGTCGGTGTCAGACTAAAGCAAAAATCTCATTTCCACTTCAATTTGCGGAATTTCCAAGTTGTTGATCTCAAACATTTCTGATGTTAACTGAAGAAGATACGTCCAAGCCTATTGCCCATGCAGTGAAGTTGCTTGTTCTAATTAAAAAAACCCAAAAGCAGATACTTTCCTTGTACATTAATTTTTTGAAACACTACCAACTTCACCTCTCAAAGGTGAAGGGGCTGGGTATGTTCTCCAGGCTACCCAGATACAGCTGTGTGCACACTCATCTCTCTGTGTACAGCAATACTCCAGCACAAGACCTGTCTAACCCTTAGAGCAGACCAGGAAATAGAGGCAGGGAAACCATTTATTTTATGCACATTTCTATTCGTCTTTCTGCCCCTGGGGTTTTTTCCTGGCCATGTTAACAACTGGACTGAAGCAGCTGATTTTCCGCTTCTTGAGAGAACGTGAGATAAAAAAAAAAAAACAAAACAAAACAAAACAAAAAAGTTTTGGTTCTAATTTTTTTTCAGAAATCTGTGCATCTGAAACTTTATGTTTGTTGTTTTCCCCCTTTCTTCTTCCAGTTCAACTCAGTAACATTATGTTTTAAACACAATGGTCTGAGAGATCAAGATATTCCCAATACATCTCAAGATGCTAATGCTAATTAAAGCTGATTAAAAGATTTAAGAGTTTGAGATACAGCAAAACCAGACTGAACTGTGACAAGACACTACTTACAATTTCATTCTATTTAGCTCAGGGGCAAGATGTGTAGCATTATTCAGTCTTTAAGTATTGCCTCATTGCTGGTATTTTTTGCTCCACCTTAAAATTATAATCAAACATTATATAAAAGGAATTAAAGGGGGCTAAATCTCATGTCTTCAACCAAGAAAAAGTAGTTTTAAAATTGAGATTGGAAATACATAAAGGTTACACAAACACTTTTCAGGAATAACACAGATACAATTTATTTTACCTCATGGCAGCAGTTATCAACCAGATAATCTTTGCAAGTTCTTCTCTGGTCTATACATCATGACTGTAATTATCAGGTAGTTCATCTTCAAAAAGCTGTGCAGAAGCAGCAAGCTTTACCACACATAAGAAAAGTCACTTGTTCAACCTCCAGTGATCAGAATGAAAAATAAATAAATAAATAAAAATACAGGAATAGATTTGGAAAGAGATAAAGATGAAAAAAGACACAAAACAGTTGTAATAAGGTGAGCAGAACACAAGTACTGAAGAGGAAAATAGAAACTATACATTTGCTTGGAAGCAGAAGCAGTTTGAGGAAGAAGAGACAGGTCATCCTCAAAAAATCCACAGCAACACAGGCTCCATGGGACAAGATGTACTACAAATCATGGGATGAAGGGATAAAGTAAGCCAGGGAGGGGGGAAGCTCAGTCAGGTCTAGTTAAAGATGAAAGGACAAACTTTACACAGAGAGAGAAAGAATCTGGTCAAGTAATTCATCAGGGGGAAAGGAAGAAGCCACAGCAACCTATCCTGAGGAACAGAACAGAAAAATTGGCATAAAAAGTGAAAAATGATGGTTTTGAAGAACACAGGTCTGAAAGCAGCCGATGCCATGCTGTTCAATCCTTCTGTAGGTGCCACCAGACACAATCCTAAGGAGCACAGCTGTGTGTGGCAGTTACTTATATTGATCCAGAAAACACTCATGTGGCAGCTGATTTGTACCATCTGCTGCAGGAATATCAGTCAAGGGGAGCAAGGTACACACCTGGGGGCCTTCACACTGAGCAACCACTTAGAAGAGGAAAGCAACTTCAGCAGGGAAAAAGAAATCTATAAAAAATGAATAGTTTATGCCATCAGAAGGAGCAAAGCTTTTGAGGGAGAGCAGCAGCTGGCACAGGAGCAGCCAGCCTGAGTTTTAGTGGATGTCCTGAACAACCCTGCAGTGAGGTATCCCCCCTCCCCCATTTTCATGCTTAAGTGTCTGACAGATGGCCTGATTTTAAAGCTAACAGCAGTTTTTCAGGGCTTTCAGTAGCACAAATGGTTGGGGAAAAGTACAAGGAGTACACATCCCCCAGATAAACCATCCACTCAACAGAAACAGCCCTGGCAATGGCTGAAATCAAGGACAGCTCCTTCTTTAAAAATTCACAGCAGGAATGGCAGCATTCAGCTGACTACCTGTAATGCATAATTTAGCTGTCACCCAGGAAATATAACTTGCATGGGCTCAGTCAGAGCAGGAGCTCCAGTCTGGAAGATGCTGGACAAGGCTGATCTCTGTTACCTGTCTCTCCTAGGATGGGACAAACCACACCTGGGAAGTGCCGGTTGAGAATGCTCTGAGAAATGAGGACAGAGAGAGTCCAGGCAGCAGCATGGAGACAACAGTGAAGGAAACAGCTGGAAGGGTAACTTTGTAAAGAAGGGAATCTTCACTCTAAGAAAAGACTTGGGGATTTCAAGGTGTTTTGCATGAGAAATACAGGTTTGGGAGAATGAAAGTAAAAATTAAAATGATAGGCAGTTCCCCAAAAAGGACCAAAAGTAACAGGTTATTTTCGTGTAGGAAGAAATGTGTCCTGTCATCACCATAAATAATAGCAGGAGAGATGTTCCTTGAAACATCCACTAGAGTAGATGTACTTAAACCCACCATGGTAACTTAAGTCTTCTCACTTCAAAACGAAACCTAAATAAAGTATATTGATAAATTATGATTATGGTATTATTAACAAAAATGCACGTTACTATCAAGCCTAAGTGTTTAGAAAAAACTACTAGAGCTAACACATTCCTGTCACCCAGATGAATACTGATGTGAGTAGTGAGTCACTCTCATACCTTTGGAGGATTAAGAATGAAAATTCAGTCTCTTTGTCCAACCAGGCAGAATGGGCTACATCAGAGAGAGAAAAGGATGGAGGGCACTCCAGTCTAAATCTCAGATCTTGAGAAAGGACAATAATATTTGCCAGAATACTTACTAAGATTGTCAGAAGCAGGATTAGACAGCACTGCAAAGATAACAAGGAACTATACAAAACACGTTCTGTGAGCCTCCAGCCAAACCCAGGTCCATCTGGATCATCTTTCTTCAAATTTGAGAAACACTAATTCTGCCCTTTGAAACTATTTTACATAGGACACTGAGGCTTCCAAGTAATTTTAAAATAGCCATACAAATCACAGGCAATCGTTTTCCTTTCTGATATCTGTACAGTGCAGTTGAAACAAAAAAAAAAGCGATTACTCCACAGCAGCCTGACATCAGTCTGTTCAGTATCAAAGCACAGATCAGTATTTCTCAGTTTCTGCAAAGTCCACAGTATTCTTTAAAATTCAGGGGAAAAAGCTCACCCAGTTTTCAAGCTGACCAAGGCATCTTCAACTCCTTTCTGATTAAACTTCGTCATGTAAAGGTGCATATCAGGGTAGTTGTTTCTGATATTCCTCTCAGTGCTTCCATTTGGGACTGTTCCAAATCGAAAAGGAGGTGAGTAATCATGTGGCCTTTGAAACTAGAAAGAAAGGGGGAAAGCAAAGTGTTTCAGGCATTCAAAATGTAAAGAAGGGCAACTTCAAGCTGAAAAACACAGAAGTTGTATAATTTGCCTCGAATTTCTTCTAGGCAAATGCTGTGGGTTAACTCAGGTCTAATATACCAGAAACCATCTTCACACTGACTGAACTTACAAAAGCATCTACAAAGTATAACCAGCTCAATTTTGCCACTCAAATGTGACTTTCTTTCAAGCACTGTAATATGGCAGGACAGCAGAAATTGGAGCAGAGAGATGCTGGAAGATCCTCATCTGCCAGCATTCTCCCTAGAGAACCCAAAGTGCCAGCAGACACACTGGTAAACAGCAGTGAAAAGAAAACAGTGCTTTGTTGGCAGTCATTTCACACTTGCAGCTCAGCTGGGACACTGTGGGGGAAGAAAGGGAAAGAGGATCATTCTCAGTATCCAACAGGGAGCACAACACACCGGTCCCGGAGGAGGGCTGGGGATGGCAGGAAGCTCTGCCAGGCAGGGACAGGCTGAGGGCTGGCTTTCCCTCCACCACCACGATTCAAGGGAAAGAAAGTTCTTGCAGCTTCCCCAGGGGATCAGCAACTACATACCCTGACATGAAAAGGGCTTCTGGAGCTCTCACACCTATATTCCCAGTCCCTATTCAATCCCACAGTTTCAAACTACAAACCATTTGCCTGAGGGCATATAGGTTTATCCTACAATTCTATATCACTATTGCATCAGCACAGACAAACAAGCCAGGGGATATGTGCAAGGGAATGGCAATTGCCCAGGGCACGTTCAGGGTTCAGACCTGGAAATCACTCAGATAATCTCACAAAAATTCTTGCTCAGAGATCTGAACATTTTATATGCGCCTTTGCAATATCTTTGAAAACCAAGTGACATCTGAGGATTAGATTAAAATGTCTCTTTAAGAAACAAATGAAAAAGGTCACTCAAATTAGAGGAACTACTGGCTAACGAGGAAATTGAATTGAGCAATTGATAAAAGCAGCCACCCATAAATTCCATGGTAAAATGCACTCAGGTTTCAGTGTTGAAGTTAGAAGAGCAATCTATATATCCTGTGCTGCAAAAGACAGATAATATTTATACAGTTGCTGATTCCTTTGGGGCTGCATATGAAATATTTCTCTTTTTGACATTTGGTCTCAGGGCATCAAGAATTCCCAAGATACAGTACCAATTTGCAAAGAGAATACAAATAGGCTTATACAAAACCTGGGAGTATTTTCAATTCCATCAAACCTTGACTGTGAAATTATTGCTGCAACACTATTTTCTTGTTACAGAACTACAATTAAATGCTTCATTTTAATTAAGCATATTTTGACAAAGCATAAAGGAATGAACTCTATTTTTCTCTATTTGTTTAGCTAGCAGATGTCTTACTTTTCTCATTTTCCCTTTTCACAGCTTTACTGTTTAAATTATTACTTTGCTACTACTTTTACACATAGTAATTGACCTATGCACTAAAATTACACTGTACACTAGTCATGGTTCTTAGTCTATATTTGCTATCTCCTATTTTGAGTTTATTATGCAGCACTGAAACAAAACCTCCTTTTAAATATATGTCCAGAGATTCTACTGATAAAAATATAGCTTGCTATCAACTTTATTTAAATCTACAGTTAATGTATCTCTGATGTATTGAGATGACTTCCAATATCTCCTAATATCTGTATCAAATTTCTCAGTCAATAGAAAGGGAAAAAAATAATTAAAGAAACATTGTCGATTTCAAGACCTCTGAAAATTGCTGCTGCTCATATCTCTGATATTTATTTGGAAATTCAGTTGTGGTGAGTACTCTGCAAGCTCAGTTCCCAATCCTGAGGTATGGCAGGGGACCTGGGGGAACAGGGAGGTGATGGTGGAGTACTCTGGTAATTGAGAAATGGAGTTTCCTTCTGAATATTCTCACTTTTCAAGACCATTCATATGAATCTAAGATGTTGGGAGGCGTTTCCTCTCATGGAATAGTTGAAAGAATTAAGACATCTGTCCAAATTGAACATTCAAGGAAGACAAAATATTTCTGCAGGAGAGCAGAGAGGAATAAAAAGCCCTACTTCATTCAAGAGTCACAGAGATAAAAAGCAGATGAATAGTTCCAAACACCATTTAGAGACTGGAATTTCTTGGCACCAACCAACCAATTTTAACAGCCACAAGGAGATAATTTTTTTGAAACCATTGTCTGCTACTTCTGCCTGCTCACAGACTAGTTGTAAAGGAAAAAAAGGGTTTAAATCTTTTTACTAACACTGCACTCGTATCTAAAGTGCATAAAGTTCTCATCAATAATAATAAATTTATATTCTGTGAACTGACACGTCCTGGAGAAGCACACAGGCTCTGTGACTGCAGTAAAAAGATGTATGTGGCAGGCATGAGGCAAGAAAGAAGGATCAGGGTCCCACAAGCATTCATTTTCCCTGAAGTCCCATCAAACAAAATACATCATGTTTGCTAGGAAGTAATTTTCTTCCTAGACATTTTCTGGAATGGTAAGTTTTTAAATCATGAACAAAATTCTTAAATTGAATGCAAAAGCCCCCTTTCTTGAGTCATAGTTGTGGAGAGATCTACTGTTATTCTAAAGACTAACCAGTCCATTCTTGTCTCCCCACGCTGTGCCACCCAACAGAACTATTGCACATGGCAACAGAACTCCAACCCTTTGCTTTTTTTTTATTTGGATGCCTTAATAAAACTGACAATTTCATTAAGCCAGCAAAGTGATCTTTCAAACATTCAATACTGACTAAATCTGAAGATTTACTTGCTTGACTGAAAAGGCTGCTGTTCAGAGCAGCTGTTTGTTATGGTTCTGGATTTTTTTTAAGGAACTGTGGAAAACATTACTAAAATAGTAGAAAATAGTAAATAACCTCTCTCTGCAGCAGGAACTCGTTTGGAGTGACAGAAGAACACTCATATTTGAACCTCCTCCTTTCTTTTACCAGATGGAAAACTGACATTCTGATTTCTGAACTTAGAAAAATAAAGCCATTACTCATTCCAAGACTGTTATTATAATCACTGGTTACTGAAATGCAGTCAATGCCTACATTTGACCACCCTCAGAAAGCACTGTAAAGGTCTAACATTGGGTAGTGGTGAGAAGGGTTGGGGTAAGGGGGTCACCCCAACCACCCATCATCCATTCTGCCTTCTGATCTCAGCCTGCTCTATTTTCACAGATGTATCTCTAGGTAACTGCAGAACTTGGGCCATCCTGGTGCACAAAAAATATAAGGCCAAGGTTACAAGAATACTCTGAACCTTGCAAAAATAAAGAACCTGTAAATGGCTTCCTATTAAGGTTGGTGAGCACCTCCTGGACCACATGTAGGTGAGGCAATAAAGTGTGGAGGAATCCCAGCAGACAAACACTTTGCAGGACAATTCTGTCCATTGCTACCTACTCTCCCTTAGTAAACTTATCTCTCATTACATGTAACAGGTATAAATGGTCTCAAAAGTAAGAAATGTCAGCTTTGCTGGATACTTTGGACTCATTTTCTCTACCTTTCTATGAAGACAAAGCTTTTAAAAATCTTTTACATACACAAGAGGAACGTCAAAACATAATTTTCTCCTCATTTTCTGAATCATTTGAGTTTAGGAACACCCACCCCTAGTAACTCCAGTACATGCTGTGCCATGTATTTCTGGATGACATGGCATTCAGGAATTCATTAGCAACATTTCAAAGGTTGAGGAAACTATGAAGAGGTCTTAAAGCACCGAGGAATAAATAGTACGTTATCAGGTGTCCAGAGTGTAACACATTTCCTGAATGGGAGGATATCGAATGCTGAGAGTCAGGAATGACTGCTCAGAGAGAAGGATTTTTTCCCTGATTTTTCTCTATAGTCTATCATATGGGGAGCTGGAAAAAAAATACTGAAATGCTGAGAAAACCAGTATCTCTAACTGGGAATACTTGATTGTATTGACAAGAGAGCCCGACTCTTCAGGTGTGGCAGTGGAAAAAATGGGAGAGGGGGAGAATAAAGAATAGCAAACTGATTTGCCAGCCCAAAAGAGTAATTTTTATTTTTATTTTTTTTAATTTAATGAACTTTTAGACATCACTTATTCCAAACTGATTACACACATACTTCTGGCCCTTCTCACTGGCCTTTGCATGTGAGTGCTTTGCTTGCTGCAAGGAACAGAGTTCTCTTCTGAACAACAGCAAAATCCTAAATTCCTGAAGTTTTCTCCTGCTAAGAGCACTGCAGCAACAAGGTAAGGAGGGGAGAAATATAATTTAATATCAATCAGATTATATTCCCATAAATTATCCTTAATTATTTGAATTTTTTAAATCCGAGAAACCTCAGGATCGTGGAGAAGGCAAAACCTGTGTACGACAAGAAGAGTGTTCAGAAATAGATCATTGCTTTTCTGGACTTCTGACTTGTTTAATTTAATCAGAAAAGGCATGGCTCCCCTGACTTATCTCTATGAGCTTCAGGCAAAGTTTGAAGAGCTGAAAAGTAAAAAACAAAGGAGGCAGATCAAATAAATGATCAGCAGACCACACAAAACCAGATGGTATTCTCTGATTCAAGTATTTTTCTATTTTCATTCTGCTTTTTGCTGAAATAAAATTCTCCTTAGCAGGCAGAGCAGAAAAATGACAGAACTCAGGCAGTTATTAGGCAAAAGCTACAGCACAGATCCTGACCTTTCCCAGCCCATGGGGGAGTGGCAAAGAGCCAAAGAGGGGGAGCTGAGGGTGCACTGTCAGACCCGAACCCCACTGCTGTGCCAGGTGCAGGCCAAAGCCTGCCAAACCCAGACTGCCCAGGAAAACGCTCTGTACTTTCTCACAAACAGGAGAGAGACGTCTCTCAAATCCATTTTTTTTAAGCCTCAAGAGAAAATACCTTTTATTTGTCTCTTCTAAGAATGCTCTCTTAAAATAGAGGTGTATTTAACCCCCTTCACGCTCTATCAAATGTTTTATGACAACACAACTTAATGAAAACAAAACTAGTATAATTTTTTATTTCTTTTCATCTGTCTTTCCTCTAGCCATGCTTGCAATTCATGCTTTGATATTCCAGGCAATCAATCAAAGGCTGGTCATAAAAAGCAGTTAAAACAAAAAAGACGGACAGGAGGCTATCTGGGCCATTGCCTTTTTTTGAATAACAATTCCTTTTATTTTCTTTTCTTTGAGAAAAATCCCTTGTGAAGTCATCCCCTGGGCTACACTGTATTTACATATTCCTTCCTAATGTCAATATTTGGATTCATTTTAAAACAACTGGGCACAGACTTGACAGCAGCACACTCTTCATGTATATCGTGTATATCCATCACAACAATAATTCTGCAAATAGACTTCAATCCCTCTGTGCAATATCACTATTACAGAACAGTCACAGAAATGAAATAAAAAAAGAAGCAATTGCTAGGTTGCTGATTTATAAGACTATTGATTAAATTCCCAAGTACAAAGATCTGGGAAGGGTTCCTTCATTAGAAGAAAGTTCAACCTATCTAAAACAATATAAAAAATAAGAATATTTATTATTTAACAGTCTGTGTGAAACTTGAGTTTAAGTGAACTATAAGGTTGCTGCTCAAAGTGAAGTTCTGCCAGAAGTTTTTGAATTAGAAAAATGTCTTCCACATACACATCAAAATTCTGTGCCTTATCATTTGCAAGTTACATCCCTCTTTAATGTGATAACACAAACTGCCAAATTTTCTTATCTATTTTTCCTATTTATTCTTGCATTTTATACAAGAAAAACATTCAAACATCCACAGACAATATGTATCATTGTTACCATTCCTCTTTATTTATTTATGCTGATGCCACTTTAAATCTGAACTATTTCTATCATTTCATTGCACAGTACATAGAGACATACAAAAAGACATATTTTCAGGAGCATTAACTAGCTTCTCAGAATTACTAGACAGTTTCTGGATTTATTAATATTTTGTCTATTAATATATTGCTAATATTTCACACAATTTTCCAAGCTTTTCTATATTGGTAATACATTCCTTTTAATCAGAAAGCGATTGATTTCCATCACAAAATAAATGCAGTTACTTTTGAATAGGCAACTCAAAGACTTTGAAAGCAGCCTGGTATTTTCATGCTTTGGATCATAGTTTCTTAATAAAAGGTGAAAGAAATCATCCGATTTTAGTTTATCTTGCTCAGATTTTTTACCACAAAGTACAGAGGATTGTGAAGAATGGACACTGACCTCCTTTGAGCTCAAGACCTACCTTTTTATCACTCAGTCCAGTCACTTGGTCAACAAATTCCTCTTGAATCATAAAGGCAGCTAAGTTGGCAGTATAACTGGCCAGGAAAATGACAGCAAAGAAAGCCCAAACCGACACCATGATTTTACTCGTCGTCCCTTTGGGGTTTTGCACAGGCACAGAGTTGTTGAAGACCAAACCCCACAGTAACCACACCGCCTTTCCAATGGTAAAGGATGGGCCATGGGGATCTGTAATTGCAGAAAAGCAGTTAAAATAAACCTTGGCACTATCCCCTGCATAAACAACAGAGATAGGGTTAAAAAAATATTTCAGTACTATTCACTGTACCCCCAATGGAATCACAGGACTCATCATAGGTGCCTTTGTTGTAATGATATTAATTTCCACATTTTTAAAAAATAATTCAACGTTTTTCTATGTGGCATGTGGTTCAAAAGTTTTAAAAAGAAAATGGAAAGCAAAGGTTTGGAGGAGAAGTAAACTAGTGTATCTCTTGCAGTAAGATGTGTGCCACAGTATCAGCCCTGTCAGTCTTCTGTGCCAGCAGACAAGTGAAATGGAAAACTGGAGGTTTAAGCCTTAATGATTCAATTCTACTACTTTTCTTATCCAAATTATTTTTATCACCTCCAGAGTTCCAACATTATGCTTTTTGAACATTATGTAAGCATATTTAAGATCAAAGTGTGTGAATATGTCACCTACTTTTAAGCACCTTTGTACTCAGAGCATAAATCAGAAAGACAGCACAAAGGAGCACCTCTTTGGTGCTGCAGTTCAGAGCAAACCAGGCTCTGGCTGTCTCTCATGTTCAGGATCAGTTCTGTGGCTCCAAATGTGTTGGTATTGCAGGTAAAATCCTGTCCCAGCTAGTCCCTTCTGCAATTATTGCTATTCCTGTTTTCAGTCATGTTTTAGTTCACCCCAAAGCAAGTGGTCAGCACACTCCCTCATTCTCACATAGGGGCAGAATTAGCAATTAGAATTAGAATTAGCAATGCCATTATCCACTCAAAAGGCCTGGTTTGTAGAGCCCTATGAGAATAAAGGGCAGTTTATTCTCACCCAGCTCTAGGTAAGTACAGTGCACTAATCACAGATGCTCATCATCTAAACTCCCTTTACTCTCGATGGAGAGAAACAGGCCTCCCCTGACTGTGACTCATTTGACCAATTTATAATTATCTCCTTTCAATTAAATTGTAATTCAGTCAATAAGGTCTGATGCAGACACCTGTAACATCAACTCCTTCCCTGCCCTGTCCCTTTATCCAAGGGGATGCACATTACAAACTCAGATTTAGCTGTTAGTTTAACTAAAATTTACTTTAATAATAATTCAGTTATTATTGAAGTAATAAAACCATAAGTGAGTATAGTCAGTGTATGTTCTCACTTCAGCAGAAATGCTCTCTAGACAGTGCAAATATTTCACTATGAAGTCAAGCACTACATCTTAGATTATCCTCCTTCTATTCTGCAGCAGCACTAGGAAGATAGAGTCCAGTAAAATAAACACAATGGAGCTGACTTTTGGTTTATGAAACCATCTTCTAGACACATTTAGGACTGAACTGATACAAGGACAATATGTATTTTTCTGAGCAATAATGTTAGGGAAAGTATATGCCAAGGAAGCAGTCTAAAGTTCTGTTATTCCACTGGAGATGGTATTAACATTGAGCTTCATCCTGCCAAAAGTGCCTAGGGAAAGGAGGCATCTACATAAAGATTCCCCTTTATTTTAAGCTTCCCATGTTTAAAATTAATGGCATCTGGCTTAGTGGCAAGTATCTGGAGCTCAGTTAGGATGGTCCAGTGCCATAACATGACCTTGTAGCTGTAAGGACACTACATAATCAGTTCTGGCACTTGAGGCGGCACAGAAGAGAATAGCCAAGCCCCTGGATACTCAGTGTCTATATTCACCTTTGAGTTCCCCTTTTTCAGCAGTGTTTATTTAGGACAGAGGTTACACATTTACCATCTTATTAAAATGATAACATCTGGACATTGCAATAATCCCCTTTTTCAGGGAACAAGCCAACCATAATCTAGAAGAAACCATTAGCTTTTAATAGTGCCCAGAACTGTGTTCACCAAGCTGGAAGATCTCTCGTTATAAAACAAGGCAAGAACAATTTAGAAATTAAAACAAAGGCTGCACTCTCAAATGTCAGTTAAGTAATGGAAGGATGAGGGCATTGCAAGACATGGAATCCTCATTCTTGGGTCAAAGTTGTATATAATAATATGTAACTGCATCTTTCACTGAGAAAGGCAAGCTCTGTATTAAATCTATTTTGAAAATGAACCTTCTATAGCCATGGATATTACACAGAAAGGACTGATGCTTTTCTGACATTGGCCTCATTTCAGGGCTGAGCTCATCTGACTTTTTATAGGGACTACATAAAACTATGTACACGGGAACCATTATTTTTCCAAATTATCCACTAGAACACAGAAGTTTAGATAAATTTCTCTGAACTCACCATGAATTCAGAGTAGTCAGGACTAGAACCTATTCCAATGCTTTTTTAAGCTGACACTTTACAGCTGATACAGTGAACTAACCAAACACTGCCTGAATACAGTTGATATCATTTACCCTTCCATACGTCTTTATTCCAATGAACTGGAGTACAAACATGAGTATATATGCTCTCAAGAAATCACACTTTAAATGAAGAACATACATGGTTTCATAGCTACTTCCACTGTTTTATTCCTATGTTATGTTTATTTGAAAAGATGATGGGTAAGGGATGGGAAATACATGATTTTTCATAGCCGAGGGGTTGTGTAAAATGCAAATCTTACCTCTCCCTTGTGCTAAGTTCCTGTTATATCCTACAGGACTGAAGTACTCAAATATAAAGACAGCCATGGCAGACACGATGAGAAGCATCACAAACATCATCACCCAGACAGAAGCACTAAAAGGCTCTGCAGCAAAACAGACAAGAGAAACAGAAACAGTTCATTAAACCAGTTGCAGCACAAGAATTCTAATGTCTTCGCTTAGGTAAGCCCAGCAGCTTCCTTTAAATTAGCTTTTCCCAACCAAAATGCTAGCAAATAACTAAGCACCAATACATAATGAACTGCTATTAGTATATATACACAAAATCCATAAAGTCAAAAGCTTAAATGTAAGCTGCAATTCAAAACCACAGGCTGCACGCTTTTCTTTGACACTGAGTGGCACATCACTGGTTTGATTCACTGCTTATTCAGTCCACAATCAGGTTGCCTATTTCTATTCATGCCATGTTATACACATTTATCACCAGAACTGTCCAACCAGTATGACTGTTTTTCTGCAAAGCAAAAGCAATTAAGCATATGTTTAATACATTTGGTAATTCAGGGAAGTAGACTTCTCTCTCGTTTTCTATCCTACAAAAAGTGTTAGAGGAAGAAAGACAAACACTTGCATTCAAACTAAATGTTTCTGCTTCAGAATTTTCTTTTCTCCGTGTTCACTTTCATCTACCTGCAGTGAAGATGATGTTTTCATCAATTGCAAACACATACTTTTGAATGTCTCATTCTCATCTGGGAGCAAATTACTGAAATCAAAAGGGTTTTATGGAAAACTGAATGTCAGTTTGAAAGACAGAAAAACCATAATTAAGTAAAAGAAGTAGGTTGGAGAACAAAACTAAAAGAAGTTTCAAACACCAGACTAAGCACCAACTTTTTGAAAGGATTGAGTGTGGTAACAGTATGTGATAACACAAAGTTCTCAAATTTCATCTTTCCCAATCACAAATTCTCTGTCATTTCAGGAGTCCCTGTGGTATAAGGATATATCTAAAAAAGATTTGTATGGTAAGGTAATATCTCTTTATCAGATCACCATATGTGGGGGCATTTTATATCATAATTTGGATAAATAATGCAAATGTGAGTGTGCTCTGAAGTGTGACAAAATAAATCTTACTATACTGTCTCTAGTTAGCATAGAATCAAGACACTTGGAATTACAAGAAATTATTGTGTTCCAATGCTTTACCTGTTTATGAAAGCTAAAGCAATTCCTCTCTCCTAACTGCTTCATTCTTTGAATTCAAATTAAGATTAGAACCACTGAAACTTCTCCCATCACTGCAGGAAAGGACTGTACTGGGAGCTGAGGTGTGGGAGCTCAGTCTGAGCCTTGCCCCAGTTAGCACGACTGACTCATCCAGAACTAGAATGAAAGGCAAGAATTTGTGCCCAGCCTTAGAAAACTGATGAGATCTTTTGTCTGTGCTACAATTTCTCCAGAATTTTGGAACTAAGTCAACACCAAATGCCAAATATCTCCACTGGTGATTTTGGATAGTAACTAAAATGTCAAAGCAGGGAAATTCTAAACCAAACTGTTCTCCTTCTGGTTTTGAGGTAAAGTGAAGGAGCAGCATTTGTTTTAATTAATTATTTTATTTTTTAAGGCTGAGTATGAAGTTCTTTCAATTGCTATAATTATTTATTGGGGAGACAGTAGTAAGTTAGGAAAACAACAGAATTTGTAAAAGGCAGAGAAAGTTCTGCTTAGATGCAGGCAGGGAAAGGACATTATGCAACCAAATGCAGTCTAACAAATATTTTATGAATTCAGATATTAACTGGATTAAATTGAAATTCACATAGAATTACCATACAATTTTGACAGCACCCTCATAGAAGAAAGCAAGGCTGATAAAACCCTTATCAAAAGCAACAGTGTAGAAACAGCAACAGTAATTTGTCAAAATCTAAACAAGGCAAAGGGCAAAACAAGCCAATGTGCAAAAGTGAGGTATAAACAACAATTTAAGCAGATTGCTCTTTAATAATTTAAGGAGTCTGGTAATGAGGTGGAGGATTAAAAGAAGCAATAGGAAAACAAAAAGCTATTTAGAATAGCAAGCAGTAAGACTGAACAAGTACAGAATCAATTGAATAACACGGTCGATTTTTCTGTCATATCAGAGATCCAATTACACATTCAGCACTGTTCTTTGATTCTCAAAGGACAGAAAGAGAACTTCCCTCAGGCAAGCATCAGGTTTTAAAAGAGCTTTCAGTAAAGCTATGATATGGCAGAAAAATACTAATATATGACTTGCCAGTGTACATTTCAAATGACTGACAATGGAGAATATTGATCAAGGAAAAAGATGTCTCTGAGTTTTACCTCCCACCACCAAAACCAACAGTCAAAGAACATATTAAATAACAAGGGGCATAGATTTTCTGTTCCACCAGTGCCTCCAGAAAATAAAACTGATCTCACCTATGAACTCTCTCCCTCTGAAAAATATAGAAAATGAGATTTGAGGTTTCCCATATTTTGTCTGCTTATATAAAGTTGAACCAAACCGCCAGAAAATCATTTAAAAAATTATTTGTGGATCTAGTATGTATGAATTCTGGTACAATGTGAAAATGTTTTAATGTGGACAAAACTCTCATTTGAAGGAGACACTCCAGAATCAGAACACGGCAGATGATGAGGAAGAAGCTGTCACAGCCCATCAGTTACTCAGATCTACTGGACACAACAACTGAGTGGAAAATCTAGTCCCACAAAATCCTGTACTTGTCTACGCTCACAGAAACAATTCACAAACCCAGATATTTCAGGAACTTTAATCAAGTGCTATTTTAAAGAAATAATATTGTATTTGACAGATTTTAAAAAATCCTTTAAAGGAATTATGTAAGATGACTGTATTCTTAGACATTCACTTAATTGAAACGAAATCAGTCTGTGAATAAATTCAGGATCTCCCTGATACTATTTTGCAAGGCAAAACATTTTACTACTACGCAATTCCAGCAAACTGGCAGCTTCATCTAGGTCTGAAAAACCACTACATACTTCTGAGAGCACAGACTTGATTTATTGGTGCAGTAAATCAAATTTCTTCCAAAGTAATGCTATTCTATAGAGCTTTATAAGAAGGGGTTATTTTTGCTTTTGGGATACACGTATGTCCAACTAAACTAATAACATTAAATGCATTTTAGAAATCTAATAACTATGTTCCTGTGAAAAATGCAAAAGCAGCCTCTCTTTTGATGGTGACCATAAACAGGTTTTTAAGAGATAAGTAAAAGAAAAAAATAATAACTGCACTTGCAGCACATTTAGAAAACACCCCAATACTCATATTTCAAAGGATAATTTCAACATGCTGAAACTGCAATTTAAAAAATGAACTTTACAACTCAATAACTTAGATAAAAGAAAAGATATTATTTGAGTATTTTCATTACAAGTAGAATCTCTTGCAATTTCCCTTAAAAGTCTTTCATTCATATCAAACACTGACAAAACCTGCTTAGGTATCACCACATCTGAGAAGTTATTAGATTACTCACTGTGTTATATTTACTTGCATCATCTCTGTAATGTGCTTTTATGGAACAGAGATGAGAAAAAAAGCTCTGTGGTGAAATGATGATTCTTGTGCAAGAAAACCCAATTATTTGCCTGCTTGGAGCTGATACTACACGAACAATCTGTTCCTCAATGGTTATAAGGAGCTCCAGTGGAGGTGAAAATCTTCCACTCTGCAATCTAGAAACAGCCCCACTGCTGACCCAGTGGACCTGAACACTCTGAACTGTTCCATCAGAGATCTGGAACACACTCATCTTTCATTTTTCCACTTAATAATTTTAGTGTCACTAGTACTATTTTTCTGTAAAAGATATCTTCAAAAATGCTGGGCCCAGGAATATAACAGCATTCCAGGCACTTCTGATCCGCCTCATGGCTCATTCTCTTTTCAGCTTCAGGTAAATTCAGGCCACCCACCAAATGCTAAAGTAAACCATAAACACTAAAAGAGGAGGAGAGAGAAATAATGAAAGGAGAACTGCACAACTGAAACAAGAAATATGTAAGAAAAGAAATCCAAAGTCTTAGTTCCTTTACATCCCACCTCCTCTCTGCCCAGCCTTTCATTTCTTTGCTGCATCTCCACTGTTCAGCTGCATGAATGGAGAAAACACTCAGCTCTCCAGTGCAGTAGTGGGGTATTCAGAAGTAAGAGGTAACTACTGTCAAATTACCTTTCAGGTCATATCTAAAGATATAATTAAACCAATTATAATGGGCTAAGCAAGCATAAATTAGTTTGTAAGGAAGCAGGTTTGAGGATGTAATTTTACCAACTGAAGATTTTGGGGGATTCTTTGAATTTCATATTGAAATCACTAGCACTGGGTTTCACTTAAAGCATCTGAAACCAACAGCATTATCTTCATGTGTTAATAATCATGTTAATCAGCACATCACCGTGGTACAACCTTCCTAATGTAAAATTCAAAACTTGACAGAAACGTGACAATGCACTATGTATCTTAAACAATTAAACCAAGCAAACTCTATAGAAATGCAATTAAATGATCTGGGTGGGCTGGAGAATCATACCTAGGAAAGCAGATGGCGAAACTGTGCCGTTGCTCCGTGACACCATGACGCTGATCCCAGTCTCAACAAACGGCACCGAGAAGTCGACGACCTCAGAGCGCTCCTCGTTAATGGTGAGGGACCCCACGGCCATCACTGCCCGGTGATACACCACCTGATCCACACAGAGAACACACCACCAACGTCACTCAGCACAGAACACCTCAGTTCTCCAAAACAACTCAACCCAAACGTTGCTAAGCTCTTGCCAAAGAGCCCTTTTACCAAACAGAACTTACTTCACCAATCATCCCATTCCACACATTATTGACTTTTTTGCCATGTTTCCCGTTGGTCACTAAATACAGGTCATATGTGAACTTGACAGTTTTAGACAACTTCTTCAAGATATCAATGCAGAATCCTTTGCAACACTTCTTCACGTTAGTTCCCTCATTAGTTTTGTTGCTGTCAACAGAGAAGAGACACATAAATATTCCTGCTAGGAAAAACAGAAGCACCACAACAGCAGGATTCAGCATGCTGTGAAACAACATTTTGTCATACTTGTGAGTGGACATGTTTTTCTGAGCCAACAGAGAAATAATCCACAGGATGCTTTTATAAATATATGGTGTTTGCAGCTTTTACTAATCATAACGTGGCTGCTTGATGAGACAGAGATAATGTTACCTTGTATGACATGATTGCTGCTGCACTATCCAGCCTAACACACTGCACTTCTCCATCAAGCCATAGTCTCCTTTTACTAATCTCTCTCTTAGGATTAGATTAATCATTTATTACTTTTACTCTCAAGACATCAGACTACATGTCATTTAGTAATTAAAGCACATGTAAGCTATAAAAAGGCACAGCAGTTCATTGTACTGAAAGTGGATGCATCTTCTCAAAGTGCACTTTTTCCTGCACTTTGAGAAGGTGAATTTCAGGCCACCTTTGAGTGCAATGACGTAGCCTTTCCCTCTCCCTTTTTTTCTGAAATGCTCATTTTGTGACCTCTAGAACATTTTAGTATAAGCATCTTTAGTAACCAAGGCAGAATTTTACCGCCTTTGAAAGAATTCAAAATTAAAATAAAACTAGTTTAGAACCTAAGTACAGTTATGTCAGAAAAAAAAAATTCTCTGGACTTGAAGAAGCATGTGCACAATCATTTAGCAGTCTCTGGGAATCCTGAGAAACATGCATCATGTTCCCTGACACCTGCTCAGTAAAAAACCTGCTGTTATTATATTCAGTTCATAAATACGCAGAACAAAGCAGAGAACAGGTGAAACACCCCTGATAAATGCTCAGTGAAACCTTTTCCACTGATTTCTAATGACTGCTCCAAAGTTATGGAGCAATAAAAGCAGGGAACTTGTCTCTCAGTGGTAAGTCACAGTGGTATTTTATGCTGGAGTAGTTTAACCTCTACCACATTTCAGCATAAACATAGATTTTCGTTGGGAGACATTCTCAAATTGTTAAAGACTAATGAAAACAGGCATATCTCAACATAACTGGAAACAATTGGAAGAGGACTCATTAAAACAGCCCCATTCTACAACACAATCTTCTTTCATATGACTGAAAAGGGCTAATTCTCGTTGACTTTGAATTTACTATAAACTTACTATCTTGTCGTTAATTCAATGTGACTTGCATGTGTATAACCAGAACCTTTCTACTTTTTAAAAAGGAAGATGTGCAAACAGGAGCACACCATGTGGGAAAGGGAAAAAGAAAGAGGACATGACACACCAAAGGAATAGCAAAGAGAGGAAGCAAGAGAAAAAGAGCAGCAAATTATCAGAGAACAATTATACAGCGAAAGAAGGGAAGAAAATAATTCATGGTTAACTAGGGGAAACGTATTTTGCACCCAGAAAAAAGGAGTGCTGGGCATTTACTCACTTCAGCCTGACAAATTTTCGGCACGGCACGGTGTTTTTTTGGCAACTCTCCATCAAAGGATCCACGTCCTCCACGATGACAAAGGGAGCCTCCTCCAGGGTGACGATGCTCAGGTGGTTGTCGTCGGGGTCGCTGTCTGCGAAGGAGCTGTACCTCGGCCACACCGAGTACTTCAGGCTCAGGGAGTTGTTCTCCCACTTCCCCACCTGCAAGGCCAAGATCCACAGGCTGCTGAAGCTGCTTGCTTGGTGTTTGACAAATGGGGGCAAATATTAAACGTGCTGGGATGCAGGTACAGGAAATTACACTGCCAGGGCAGTTGCTTTGGGTTTTTGGTTTTTTTAGCTCAAAATTAATTTAGAACTTCTTACTAATTTCATGAAGCGAGAAAATGCACTGTGGTAAAGACAAATAAAGTAATGTTATTTTAAGATAACTGTTTTATAAAGACTAGATGTCATCAGTTAACACTACTTATCATCTGGCTATGGGTGCACTGAAATTTGATATGCATCGTTTCCATTTGAGCCAGAACAGCAAAAAGATGCTCCCTTTGTAATCAGGACCCATTTGAAGTAATAAGGAAAAAGTTCTCAACAACCCCCCCCCAAAAAAAAAAATCAAACCCTAATCCACTCCCCACACACACATCTGACTGATAACCAAAATATCATAATGCCATTTCTGTATCTTCCCAAAAGAGAAGACTCTTCTATATTTAGAGTTTGAAAAAACATTGTGAAAGCCTTTTTTCCAGCCTTTTCATTGCACCTGACCCAGGCCAAACCATGTTTGTAGTAAGACATTCTATTAGAAATAGTTCTTATTAGAAACAATGTGTTTTATGCTGCTTTAGGTAATGCCAGCTCTTGGGTAGGTTTAAGAAAGTATATCCCACTTTACATTAAAATTTCCTGTTTATTTACTGTTATAAATTATCCCTTCTAAATTAACCTGTTTCTTTCTACTTCCAGATCACCAGAAAGGAGTGTACAATTCAAATATTTTTAAAAGTCTAGCATTTTCTTCCTCAAATTGTGTTTTAACTACTTCTTATCCATAAATCTAATTACATGTTTTATCGGATGACAGATAATATAAATGAGCTAGCAATCCACATACTTTATAACCTAATGCATTTTAATAATTCTTGAGTTGCTTAAGCTAAACAAATAACAACATAATCATGAGACTGTTAAAACATCTTTTTTTCAAAGGAAAATGGTGGGAATTGACAGCACAATGAGAGACTCAGGTCCTAAAAAAAAAAATTAAAAAAAAAATCACCTACCTCCTGTCTTTAAAGACTAGAAAATGAATCATAAAAATTCCCAAAGAACATGATTTATATCTATTCCTATTTAGGGAAGCATGTAAGCACATAACCTTTGCAGTTTCCTTTCCATCCTGTTTATAAGTCAAGATGTTTTGCTGAACTTCAATGTAGGAGGCATAAAATGCCAAATCCCTACACACTTAAATCAGGAAATCCAAAATATCTCAAGGGAATTAGGAATTCTCACTTGAATCAATGGGAATTGATTGTAGGATATATGTACAATGCTAGTATGAAATCTAACCAAAACACAGTGGATGAAGCCTTTGTGAGACCAACTATTCCAGACAAAGGGAAACAAACCTCTTTTTTCTATCCATTTAACTCTGCATGAGGCAGAGTTATTGTAAAAATAGTTTAATCATCAATCTATAGTATATAATGGCAGTCACAGCAATGTGTGCTGGTTTATGTGAGCTTACACAGTGTCACTCATAGCCCTAAATACTCCATGGCCATCTGGGATGGGGAGAATTCCAGCCAGAGCAGTGCTTCAGTCAAACAGCAAACGTGCCAAGGAATACAAGGGATTTCAGAGGTGGAAAATGTGCCTGTTCCAACCATCAAGAAACGAAACATGATGGCATTTGTGTGGTCAGGGCTACAGTCCCCTGCCTTCCTAAACCCCTCAATCCGGGAGCTGTGAGGAGGCAGATCCGCCTGATCCTGAAGCATATCCCTCTGCCAGCCACCCCCTGCGCCTGCACTGCTGTCACACAGACTGCAGGAACACAGGCTGCCCACCTCAGGGAGGTCACCTGATCCTACCAAAAACATAACCACTGCTTGGGTGCTGTTAGAAGAGAAATTATGATACTCCTTCATACTTCGACTGGAGTAACTCCTTTTTATTGTTCTGAGGAGGATATAATGATATTTTTAAACAGTTGGATTTGGGGAATTGCTGATTTCTTTTGAGAGTTGTATCTATAAGAGTGGGGAAGGCAAAACTCTGTTAAGAAAGATTTTGAAGTAATAAACACAGCAGTGTGCATTTCTAAACCAAACTTTTTTTTTTTTAAAAAGAGAATTCAAGCTGAGGAAAACACACAAAAAATGCTGCAGACATGTTCCATTACAGAACTGTCCAAAACTGCATGCAAATACTTTTACTGTACTGTATGGAAATGCCACAAAACATCCAGAGATTTAGGAAAAATTTCTGTCACGCCTGGTTACACTGATGATGATGTGGCCTCGATCTCAGAGAAACATAGAAAATGGCCCTCACTTGAAAAAAAGGGCAATAAAATCATTTTGGGGGCAGATCCTGGCCCAAACCATAAAAATCCTTATCATGGCCAAAAGAGTGTGACTTTCATAAAAAATGCATTTTCAATAGTGAATCAAACCCTTGATTCACTACTGTAGGTGCAAAACTCAGCTTCAAAGTACAGACATGCAATGGTACAAACACCACTGTATTTCTTTTGAACTTGTACTTTCTTTCCTATTTTCTCCACCTTCACATGCAGTCTGGAATATTCCCTATGGTTTAATCTCTACAGGATACAGGAAGGGAAGCAGAAAATAGCTGAAAGCATGGAAGAGCTTTGTTTGAAGTCAGACTGAATTAGCAAACACAGGGTCCTCACCTCACCCACCTCTGCCTAAAGCACCTTACATCTGACTGCAGGGCACACGTGCTCTCACCCCCTCATCCAGGCCTCTTTTACCTTTTGAAGATTGCAGCCAAGGAGGGTGATAATGAAGAATTTGGTGTGTGTCTGTGCAGCACTTAGATAAACACAGCTATGCAAAGACAGCCAACCTGCACAATTGCTGCACCTCAGAGTCCCCTCTCCTGCTGCAATCCCTAAAGCAGTGTCTAAACAATGTAAGGATGATTGACATAATCCTATCCACACACCTTCACAGAGACCATCAAGTCACAGAAAATGAGCAAGGCCAGATCCCGAGAAGAGCTTCCTTGTGGGCCAATGCTGGCACGAAAAGGATGTCTGTCACAGCGGCGTATCTCACCAAAAACAAACAAATAACCCCGTCCTGTCACCCTCCTCCCAGCAGATGGGAGCTGTACTCAATGCACAGTCATCACCCCTTTGTAAGAAAGAATGTTACATGACAACATGGGTACTAAATGCACTCCCAGGACTACTCAGCCAAACCTTTGAAAAGAGAAAGATTTTCAGGGATGTTCCTCTTGCATTAAACACACACATAGATTGCAAACATGCTGTTTGAGCTGCCCCAGTTAAGAAAATAATGCTGAGCAAAAGCAAAAATCAAACTCTTCTTGCTTTATTGAAAAGCTATTTACTACTATTTTTTCAACACACTTTTCCACTTAAAAGGAAGAGCTACTTTGGCAGGGTTTAAGTCAATAACTAAAAAGCATAGAGTTTGTCAGGTTAGCAATAACAGCTGCAGTACAAAGCACAAAAGCAAAACCCTCCCTCCAGAAACAGCACCTGCTGGACACCTGCTGCTGCAAACTTTTGTGTCACTTCATGTTTATGAAGGTCCTTCTATGACAATGGCCCTCTAAATCTAAAAGACAAAATATGGTGTGAGCAATTTCATGTCTTATTAATAAGAAGTGTTTTACAGTCCTATGTGGTTTGAAGACCTCCACTTAAAGACCTTGAAGTTTTCAAAGTCTGCTGCAAAATCTCACATGGGCTGTGCAAATGTCCCACTCTTCCCTCATGGCTGCTTCTGACACTGTCAGGAAGACACCAGTCCTGCAACTGGGAAGGCCCAAAGGAAAACACAGGACCCACAGAGATTATAAATGAACAGGAGGATAAAAAGAAAAGCTACCACCTCCTGCAGCCTCATTTTTCAATAGAGAATTATTAATTAGCACTCACCAAATCCTCAGTGGCTGGCATAGTTTTGGTTCTGCAAAATGTCCCAGATAACTTTACACAGCACAAGAGTTCAAACTCATGCCAGAGAAGCCATTTAATGAGTTGATTATGCCATTAGAAAAGAGTTAATCAAACAGCCCCTTCCTCCACCTCCCAGCAAGGAAAGACTTTTTGTTACCTCTGCAGTCAGTACAGATCTTACAACTCTCCAGAACTGTCCAGTCAGCTCTACCTTTACCTCCAGAGATGAAGAGCTAGTCTGAAAGTCTTCCTATTCCTTCATCTCCTCTCTTAATACATAAATTTAAAGAGCAGGAGCAAACCTATGGTTTCCATGGGAGCTGTGATTCCTTTGTGGCAGCAAAGAGATGGGGACCATCCTCCTTGGGAATACATGATTTAAGAAATGCTGCACAGTAATTGGTGCAATTCAAACAACTCAGTCCAGTAAAGGTCAAAGGAAAGGCCTTTGGGCTAAGCAAAAGCTCACTGATACAGAAACAATATGCAATTCTCAGTCGACAATAAGTGTCAGGACAGGCATATTTACAGGAAGACTAAATACACCAAGCAACAAGGACAGAACAGAGAAAATGGCAACCCAACAGATGTTAAAGAGCACACTGCTGCTTCTGCTGTGGGCAAAGAATATATCATGTTACGCCACAGAGCCGCCGACAGAAGATACACCCGCAAATAGAGGATTAGCTCATGCAGTTTCAGCTGTTCTACTTAAAATACATGCAGCCCTTCACAACTTCCAGGGAATGTCTATCATGAGACACCAGGATCCTTCAGCTATCACAACCCCTGCTCTAAATCGAGATTTCACAAGGAACCACCCTGTACCATCTCAATGACTTTTTATCACCACAGGGCTCTGACAAAGAGCTCTGTCAGAAATCTGACCGAGTGTCATTATGTTCTCAGTTCTCACCCAGGGAAGTCAGCTCCACCATCAGAGACAGGAGCTGCCTTTTCTCAGCTACGTGCTGGTGGATGTCAGGAGCCAGATGGAGCTCTCTGTGAAGACCTTGGTTCATTTATTCCAGGCAGGAACCACGCACCCTCTGCCCACTCATTCCTACTTAGATACAAATGTGTACAACCCCACACAGAGCTTGTAAATCTGGCATATGCTAGTTAATCAGAGCAAAATTAAGTTCTACTTTAAATCCTGCATTAATAGAAAGTTAAAGATTACAGGCTATGTTTAGAATACACCTGGATGTAAGTACTGGCTCTTGCAGTGGTGTTTCAGTAGCAATTGTGCCATGTAGTACACAAATTCACCCAGAATACAGGCCACCGTGGTAATTTTATCTGCATCTACCTAGGAGCAGCAGTAAAAATTGATTTTACCCCGGAACTCATCTTTACACATGGAATACACTCATCTTTAAATTCTACACAGTCCTTCACACTTCACCTAAAATATATGATATGCACTGCTAATTAAACCATCTATTTTTTGTCACTGCTAATTATATTCTAGGATATGATTTTAATATCAGATTGATTGATTTTATTTCCACATCAGAAAAAAAAAAGAAAGACAGAGCATCAGACTGTGAATTTGGCAACTCAGCGAAGTTGATACCCAGGTCACACCACACTAAGGTAACATGAACAGGAGAGCTGCAGCTGGGTCTGCTGGACCTCTGAGGGTTATTTAGCACTAGCACAGGGTTCCTGCAGCACTTTGGTGATATTTGGGCAACACTGTTAACTCTGGTAAATTTATCAAGTTTCACTGAAACAAGCAGATTAAACTTGTCTTCTTAAAAATCTCTTGCCTGAGAACAGCATCCCCTTTGCCTGTCAAGATTAGCAGCAAGAATATGAATGTTGGTGTCAGAAGTTTGAGCAGTTGCCTTAGGATCTGTCAAAATATCTTGCTGGATGCCTGCAAAACATGCCCAAAAATGTGATTTTCAGTCTTCAAACTATTATCATCCAACCAGCTTTTTTCAGCATCTGATATGGGACAAATCCCTCATTCAACCTCATTTACATGTGAAGTTACCATCTCGAAGTTTCAATACTGAGTCACTTATAAAGGAAAAGGAACTTATTCCCAAGGGGTAATACGTATGCTCTTCAACTATGGTTGAAAGAATTTTCAATAACCTCAAGCCTTGAGTCAAGTATATCAATTTTGATACCAAGGAAAAATTGTATTTGAGTCAAATCAGATTAAAAACCAAATAAAAGTTGAGTTCAAATAATACATCTTGGATTTTCAGTAGAGTATCAAGTAAAAAAATTTTCACATAAACTCCAGTTACTCTTTCTACATAAATAATAAAGTAGCTGCTCACAATTTCTATGTACACTAGTTACATTATGAGGATTAACAGACTGTTGCATTGTCAGTTTTTCACATGAGAAAATAATTTAATTAGATTCTGGGACTCGATGTTTTCTGTATAGGTTTAAGGACATTTAATAAAACTTCAATAAAACAATTCTGTGATACTCATTGCCATACTGTAATAGGAAGGAATAGCATGTGCCTGGTTGGAAACTCAGAGCAGGAAATGTTAGATCTCAGATGAGTAGCTTTGACAGTTTTGAAATCGAGCAAAACAGCTCAAGGAAAAAGGAGTAAGAGGAAAAAAATTGGCTAGGAGGCTAAGAAATGTGGGATAAAAAGCGCAACTTGGAGAGAACGCTGAGACAACCCCAGAGAGATGTTCAAATTAAGCAGGGGGTAGGGAAGGGCTTCTGAAGTCTCTAAGCCAAAGGAACTGTAGTGTTCAGTGATGCTCTGCTGATAGAGATGTGGGGTGTTCCGAGACAGCCGAGAGCTACACCCAGCTCGCCAGGAAAATTGATTACTCAGTTTATTTGTCTTCATCCACAGAGGCAGGGATCAGCCCGTGGTCAGAAGAATAATTCTGGCGGTGACAGCCTGTTCTTGGCTGCCTTTTCCTTCTCCCCTCTGACACAATTAAACCTGGCCCCCTTCCCACAGCCCAGCACTGGAGCAGCAGGCACGAGAGCTGACACGGGGCCGGCTGTCCCTGCCCAGCACCTCGCCTGGCCTGCCACCAACAGGGCTCTGAAACAGGGGCCAGAAAGGAGCAGAAGCATCCATTTTTTTCTGGGCAGGAGCCTCCTTCAGTCCCACTTTTCTTCCTCCTAAAAGACCCTCAAACACAACAACGAGCAGGGAGGGATTTACCCGATGGAAAACTGCACAGACAAACATAAGGCTCAGCCTACAGCTGAGCCCAGCAGAGCAGGTGGGGTGGGCACTGCTGCCACACAACATGGTAGGCACACCAAAACCTGCCCCAAGTCCTCATTCTCTGAGAGAGGAGTCACTGCAAGGTTAAAACAGGCTCAAGTTATTTCTTAGAAATAATGTTGGTTCATGCATCTGCTATTTCTTTGCTGCTCTTAGCTCATTTTTCAAAAACATCACACCCATCTCTCCTTGTCCTTTGAATGGCCTCTTTAGAGAAGTTTCAAGGTACAAAATGTATTTAAATTATTTTAACATAAGTATTGTTGGCTGCCTCTTTAAGCATTTTCTGCCTTTGGCACCTCATACTAATAATATTCTCCGAGCAGTACAATAATTTTTCCAGAACATTATATATGATATGCAGAACGTTGAAGAATTTTAAAATAGGGTAAGAAATTTTCATAACGGTTAGCGAGCAAAAGATTCCTCCAAAGATTCAAATTGACACATTTGGAAAGGATTAAATTTATCCAGAGAATTAAATTTGCATCAAATGAACATAAAGAAATACACAGCATAATCTAGGACTACTCTCTGGTTTTGCATGGCTAGCATATTTATTGAGATGTCCTTCAGTAATTCTGATTTTGTCATTATTATTCATCATCTTGAAGAACGTTGTAGTCTTACAAACTGGAGTTTTAAGTTGATTTTATGGATTCCTAAAACTATAAGAAAAAGAATTCATAAATTTCAGCAGGAATTTAGATAATGAAGGGTCATGCTTCATGAATTTGAAATAAAACTGAAGGATGACAGTGATGTATGCTTACCTACAGTCTCATATTACAAGCAGTTTCTAAGGTTCCCTGTTTTTAAACCACAGATATCTTACAAACCTCAGAGCCAAAACAATCACAGGCTGAGACTGGAGTTTTAAAGAAAAGATGTTCATGATAAACTTTTTAAATTACTATTTGCATATAAGATTAACCCTGATATTAAGTCACTTTCTAGTCTATATAGAGGTCTATGGAGACCACTTGTCTACCTGAAGTAGTCAAGATTACAAATTTTTCAGGCAAACCTTGTTGGGATTATCCTCCAATTCAGCAGGAACTTCAGTTTAACCAAAAAAAAGTGTGCTTTTATTTAAATATGTCAAAAAAAATACAAAATCAAGCAAATGAAAGGACTGGAATTGTCAAGATATAAAAATCCATCCAAATTTAAGTAGCCGAGGACCAAGCTTTTGGAGGTTTTTCAGTGATTCATTTTATTTTACTAAATTGCAAGAAGAAATGGAAATGCAGGGTGTGTTTCACAGAAATCTGAAATCCACATGGCTTATCTGTTGCTTTCCCTGTTAAAACTCCTTGGATATACATTGAACCAGGGAAAATTATCTTTTCTGAACTGTTGTGACAAACCCCCTAGAGCAGAATATCAGCAGTGACATGCAGGACATTAATTAACCTGCCTGCTCATCATTACCAGGGCTCTCCCAAGTCTCTCCCACCCCTCAGATCCTGTTCCCAGGGCAGGACTCACCTTCTCCCACTCCCGCTCGTTGTTCAGCACTATCACCACCAGCCTGGGGTGTGCCTGGTAACCATCGGCCGTGAAGGACAAATCTCTGCCTTCCCAAGTCACATTCATCATAAACCTGGAAGGCAAGGAAGAAAAAGAGTTCCTTGAGAAATTAATGAGCTGTCCAGCAGTTAATAAGCAGCCAGTTCAGTCATCAGAACCACTGATTAAACACATGCACCAAATCCCGCCAATGCTGAGAAGAGCCTGCACTTGCAGCACAGGAGTCAGAGCACTTCAAGGCCCTTCATAGCACAGAACAAAGCAAAACATTGTTTTTGTATGAATTTTAATGCAGATATAATTTTTAAAGCAGCTTCCAGATTATATACAACCTGTACACACCGTGAATAATCTTTCTGGCATTTTGTACCACCTCACTAGTTTTTCAGGACCATTTTAAACATGTCTACATCAGCTCTGTATGTATTATATTACTGTCTCTCTAGAGTGATACTCAGAGCAAAGTGCACCTGATCTCCTGATCTGTCTGCCCCCAAGAGTTCTGTCAGCCCTTCCCAACACTATGCTGTTGTGACATGTGGATAAATTCCACCAAGGCCAAAACCAGACATGAAAGCTTTGAAGGGGTTTATAATAGTCCAGTAATCTCAAAAGAGAAAGCATATATGCTTTAAACTTTTTTGTATTTAGGTTCATTTTCAATGGTTTTCAAAAGATATATAGATTAATATAAATTAATTTAAAAAAAACCAGATGGACCCAGATTAAAATGTACAAGAAGGAGAACTTTTAAATTTTGTTGAAAAAAATCAAAACTCCACACTACCAGTGTGACCCTGACAGAGCTAACCCATAGGTAAAAGGTAAAACTGCAACTCAAAGTCTTGGTGATATGCCAGCACTTCCAGAAGATTATGTGCCCTCCAGCCCATGCCATGTCCATGGTCTGTAGTTAATCACATTGAATTGCACTGAATTTCATTGCAGTGTATTTCACTGAAAGAAATTCAGCCCAGGACTGATGCAGACAGAAGTGCAGACATCCATCCCACAGACAGAAGCGTTTTAAAGGGCAGAAAGTTACTTTAGCTATTCTTCATACATTACTGACTAATGTTTGACCCCCAAGAAATGATACAGGTTTACATGTTTGTATGGGTTTGGAGGTTTTTTGGTTGGTTGGTTGTTATGGTTGGTTTTTTAGCAGCAGTAGTAGGACGGTCTCCTGGTGAATGTGGTATAGACAAAATTATTCAGCTCCAGATTCAAAGGAGAAGGCTTTGTATTGACACAGCTGCCTGAAAATCCCAATAGCAGAAGCACACTAAATAAACACTTATAGACCCAGAAGAAATAGTGGCATTGTATCATAACAGTTAATAATTAAATGTGCACTGCCCTGAACAGCCATCTTAACATCATTCAGCACCGGTTTGACAGCAATTTGTAAATTCTCCCATCGTAATAACTCATATTTTGTGACAGACTTTCAGCGTGAAAATTTTCCCCTTGGCAGAATTTTGCTGTTCAGCTGAACTAATTTCCCGTATATTCCATTTTTCATCCAGCAGTGAAAGAGCTTGTTTGGGAACAAAAGGCTTGTTTGCCACCTTGAGAGGCAACAAACCACCAAACAGAATTCACTTGTGCACACATGTAAGGAACCAGCACAACATTCACTCGCTGCTGAAAATCAAACGCGTTGTGACCCAGGGAATGAAGTGCCCAGGAAGTGACCACGGGGGGAAAACGAGGATGTGCTGTAAAAACACACAATACTTTCATCTGCACTTCTGCACCCTCCTTCAGAGGCTCCCTCCCAATTCACACACGTGAAATAACACCCCTCACAATGCACACATCATCTGACAGGGCCAGGTAGAAACCACCTCATGTCAATAAACCTGAAAGCCAAGCACTTTGTCCCCTCCTAAGGGCTGGACCCCAAACACACACCCCGTACTACGTCAGGCTTTTGTGTCCATTTGGCTTTTTAACTACATATTGGTGACTGGACTTGAGTTGAGGCCTTCCTTTATGTAATTTGGTAGGATCACCACCCTAGATTTCAACCACCACTCATCATATTTTTGGATTAATATGCAAATGTCCTAACCAGTCAAGGGCCATCACAAGATGCAGTGCTGATGCTCAAGTGTTCCCCCAAAAAAATAAATAAAATATGAACCACAAATCTAAACTGAAAAACTGAACTTGGTGTACATTTTTAATCCATGTGAATTTACCAGTTATTTAGTACTGAAAGATATTTTGCAAGTTTTTTTTAAAAAAACTCCCTAATCTGTAAAAGTTTCTTAAAACTGTATTGTCTGATCTGCATACAAAGATACCCATGAGTGATGCAGTCTGAGCTACCCCAGTTTCTCATACTGCAACAATAAAAAGGACTTCAAAGAGATTCTTGTTTTCCCAAGCACATTCTTCTGTACAAAATTCATCAGCTGCCCGTGTTCTTCAGAAACAAATGCCTGCAACCTACATTCCCTTTTGAATTGTCATTTTTCCTCTGCAAAGGACAGAAGCCCTGCTCTGCTTTCACTGGCCAAAATCCCAAACCGCTTATCCCTCCAAAAAACAACTGTGTGCTTTTCTGCTTCTGGTTGGGAAGAGTACGGTAAGGAAAGCATTTATAATATGTTATTCTTACAGAGTTTTAAGTTTATCCAAGATTAATTTTGTGCCAGATGTCTTTGGCTTCTGAACTGGACAAAATGCATTCCTGAAGTAGCTTTGGAAATGCATATTCCTGTTCTTAACTAAATGATGTTCTTGGTTATTTGAGCTTATTACTTTAAGGGGGCAATTCAGCACACACCTTGGATTAGTAGTTAATCTGCTTTCATACCTCATTAATGCTGCAGCCTTTGCAAAGACATGATAGCAGGAGGCCTTGTGATGGTATTATGACACTGAAGTCTTAATTAACTTTTGCAAACTGAAATTTGTAAGATTCCCCAGGTGATCCATGATTCAAAATGGTAATTTTTTGGGGGGGGACAGAAGTTAAGCTCTTCTCACAGTGAATACAAAACAGGTTTTTTATCATGCAAAGAACCAAACCTTTACTATTTATTTAAAAATACTTTTAACATTTACACAATCCTTTTTTGCTTGTCATTTTCCCCAACACAACTGAAAAGTGTTGAGACACCACAGCAGAACACTCTTGTTGTTGTATTTACAGCAAGCCTTTGAAACACCGAGGTTACAAACTTTTCTTAAGGTTTCCAACTTCATTTTTATAGACTCAGAAACATCAAGTAGTTCACATAAAGCTTCAGAATAATGCCAAAACTGTGCAATATTTATCCCTGACAAAATTCTAACCCTATCCATAAAAACAGAACATATTGAATAAGGTGGGTTTTCCTACCCTGTAAATACTATACCACAATTTCATTGACTCCAATTTCTATTAATAAATGGGCAAAGACTTTGCCAAAAGGAAGAGACCTCAGTTTTTAGAAGACCATTTCCTAGGATATGATATTGCTGATACAGAGTCACCTTTCTGGCCTCCTTACAGGAAACATGGACCTCCTTGTCCATGGGGTGTTTGTTAAGGATTTCCTATCCTGTGTGAAAACAGTAGAAAACCCAGCAAAGCCACAACTCCTCCTGGAGTAGAATCTTTGAGATTTTCTATTTCTATGTTATACAACAGCAGACATGTTTGCAGGTTGTGCCATTTCTTTTGAGGTTTAACAGACAGATGTACGTTCAAGATACACGAGTGTTCCTGTAACAAGGAAGGGGGCAAGGATTTGAGAGCAAAAGCAAGAAGGTTTAGTGGATTCTGTGCTGGGCATTTTTTCAAACAACACAAAAAAACCCCAAACAACACGACACTATGTAAATTATAAATTATTATAAAGATCACTTTGTCTCAAAAAAAGATCAATCCTAGCCCCAGCTTCATAAGCAATCCCAGGAAACCAAAGCAAGTGCGATGTCACCTCTGGAGCCCCATCCATGATGGTGCTCAGGAAGTCCCCACCTGGCTTCACCTCTACCTGCTGCCTCTCTGGGATGCCAGGGAGGAGAATCCTCATAAAAATTCCCATGCTTGGTATCGGCCCACCCCCTGTGTCCCAGAAGACCCTGCAGGACTGGTTGGGCTCAGGAACTCAGCCAGCTCTGCAATAACAGGCTGGTTTATAATTAGTGTGAAATCCACCTAGTCTGCAGCTCCCAAACAGATTAGCAGCTGGGAAAAACATGATGGGTAAGGCAGAGGCATTAATGAAAACATGTCACTTCTAAGCTGCCTCCAAAGGAGAGAACTTAGTTACCAGACCTGTAAATAAAGCACAGGGCCTGGCAGCTGCAGGGAGCAGAAACCCACAGGACCCCTCACTGCCAGGAGTTCAGACCCACGTTTCCTGCCCTCATCCTGCAGCTCAGATGAGATAATCAACCCTGATAAACGCCCCAGGTGCCATCACTAGGGACTATCACTTTTTATTTAGTGCCTTCTTCACCATTGGGCAGTGTTTCAGATCTGAGACAACCACAGGCAACGAGGAGAGAGGCAGCAGAGACTTGGGGAAACACATGTTCTGTAAAAGAAACCCTCCCCCTTCTCCCTCAAAGAAGGAATTTCCAAACTGAGATTTAAAGCAGATGAAATGCCTCAAAACCAACATGTTATCTGGCAATATTTCTCTTTTTTGCAAATAGTATAAAAACCAGCCATTTTAATAATCTAGACAGCCTGCCTGTCTGGCCTTGGCGTTCACTCAGCCTCATACCTAAAAAAGCAGAAGTGAATCCTAATTCTGTCTTTTCTTCTTTATCTTCTTGAGACTCTGAACTGCTGCACTTCCTTACTACGATTCTACCGTGAAATTGGAATGATACTTATCAATAGAAAACCCAAGACAGATTATTTATCGTTAAGAAACAGATTTCCTATGTAAAATTAAATCAAGAAATGCTTAATGCAGAATATATAATATGTGGCCTGAAGTACATATAGAAATAACTCTGCAATAGAACACTATTAAACAACATAGATGCACTTTTTTAACTAATTCTATGTTTTAGGCTGCGTAGGAATTTTTTTCTAAATTCAAATCCTTTTAAGTGATG